GAAGTCAAAGCTACGGTGACGGGTCCCGGTGGCATACGATGAAGGGCAGCAGGTGTTTCGTTCGATGATCTTCTGCGGCGCCAGCTGTGCCTAGTTCTACTTCGTAGTTCTCTATCAAAGTCGGAGCTGCACCATCCGTCGCAGGTTGCTGAGTTCTGGCGTGGATTTTCATACATCTTCACGCGGGGTCTACGGTGTGGGTTGAGTCATACGATGAAGTCGGGGTCATTTTCTCGGGGCTTAGGGATGGCAATGACGCTTGTAGGGAAGAAGTGATGACGATTACGCATGCATGTTGTCTCGGTGAGACTCTCTTTAAAGTGGTGTGTGTGGACTATCTTATGTGTACCGCTCAGAGTTTGTGATAGTATTTCGCCCGATTTTTCATAATTAATTGGACAATCTGGGTTTCGCTCGGTTTTTCTAATTAACCGAGCAATTCTTTTCTTCTGAATGAATGCGGGAATCCTGTCATTTTGGAAGAAAGAAAAAACAAGACTTGGATGCTTTGGAGCCTTTAACAACAACCTTACACATTTCATGATATCACCAGCTACAAGTCGTCGACAACTTGTTGTAGAATAAGAGTACTTAGAGCATCTCCAGCCGCGCCGCCAACACGGGACCCCAGGCGATTTTTTCGCGCCGGCGCCGAAAAACGGCCCAGTCGCGCCCCCAGGAGCCTGTTTTTCGCCGGCTTAGGCCAAAATCAGCGTCGGTGGACCCAGGCCGAAACCGTCTCGCTGGGGGCGCCCGGGGGTGCCGGGGCGAGCGGTTTTGGCGCGAAAGAGCCACGGGCCCGCCGAGTCAGCGACGCACGCGTCGTCGTCATCGGAACGCTTTGGTTTCCCGCGCGGAATCAATGGCAAGGCTGCCGCCGGTCAGCCTTGCCATTGATTCCTCATGGGCGGCGCGTCACGGGTGGCGCGGCGACGCCTCCCCTCCCGCCACGCGTACACACGGCGCGGGCTATATATGCCGGTGGCCTCCCTCGCCTCTGGCCACACCAGCCCTAGTTGCCCATCGACCGTGGCCGAGCTCTCCCTCTCTCCCGTGCGCCTCCGCTCGCCGACGCTTCTTCCCTCCCCTCTCCCTCCCTCCCAGCCCGATGGCCGCGTGATTCCCCGGCGACGCGGCGGCGGCCAACGGCTTCGGCCGCCGCTCGCTTCACGAGTGGGAGGCCTGGCTACTGTTCAAGGCAAACATCTCGACGCCACCGAACATGCGCGCCGGGCCGATGGGGTGGAGGTTCAGCAAAGGGGGAGTGCCCATTCCCCCGGTGCCCGACATCGAGGCGTGCCCTGCCTTCTTCTCCGCCGAGGTTGACCGCGTGCGAGCCTCCCTGACAGAGGAGTAGCTCGCCCTCCCCCAGTACGCCGCCGACAACCACGCGGCATGGGCGGCGTACTTCCAGCGCCGCCAGGAGCAGAGGCTTGCTTCCACCAACGGGGCGTCGATGGTGGGCGGCATCAAGAACGGCGAGGGGCGCCAAGTGTGGTGGGGTGCCCACGGCCGCACGCTCGAGGACGTGCTGGAGTACCTCGAGGGCGGCAATAACCCGTTGTTGGCATACCCTGCCGCGGCGGCCGCCCCGGTCCGCCGCCGGCGCGTTGGGCAATGGATGCCCAGGAGGTTCGGTTCCTCCTCAACTTCCTCCTCGCACTCCTCCTCTCGTTCTTCTTCCCACTCCTCCGGCTCGCCGGTGGCGTTCGACGTCAAGGCCGAGCCCGCGGCGGAGACGCCGCTCGGTCGGCGCACTCGCAGCGCCGGCATCGTCATAAACGAGGGCGCCCCGCGCGCCTCCTCCTCTGCTCCTCCGCGCTTCGTCAAACTGAAGGAGCCGAGGCTCGCGGCCGTGAAAATGGAGCCGGGGCTCCCCGCCGTGAAGACGAAGCACGACGCCGCGGAGCTCGACGAGGCGGCGGCCCTGAAATGGGCGCGCAATGACTGGCTGAAGATGGAGATGGAGCGCCAGTGCCGCGCCCTAGAGCACTTCGAACATCGGCGCCGGGGCCGCGACGAAGGAGGCGTCGTCGTTCTCGACAACAGCGACGACGACGATGCGCCGCCACCGTCACCGGTCCGCCATGGCGACTCCGGACAGGGGTCCGGCAGGGGGCAGCCGCGTCAAGGAGGAGAAGGCCGCCGCCGACAACGACGGCGACGGCGGCGACTTCGCCGCGTTCAGCGACTTCTTCGGCCCGTAATTGTAGTTCCGGTCTTTTTTAATAAATTTGCTGTGTGAAATGTCGAATATGTCTAATATATGCTCAGTTTGCTGAATTTTAGCTGAAACTTAGCCGAATGCTTTTTTTTGGGGCAGCGACTGGAAACCCACTCGCCCCCAGACCAATCTTTTGCGCTGGCTCGCCCCCAGGCGGCGATTTTACGCGCCCCTGAGGGGCCAACGGCTGGAGATGCTCTTAGCTTCACCAGATCAACACCGAGAGAGATGTACCATAGAAATAGCAACTTACATTTTATACCTACTAGAAACATGTATATAAGATCTCTAGTGTCGAGTATAGCAGCCCATGTGCTGCTCTACACGCCATCTCGATAGCAGCTCTGTATATAACATTAAGTTAATGAAGAAGACAACGACTTCATGCATTAACTGGTTTAATTTACTCCTCAACTACCCTGCAATTTTTTTTTACTCCTCAACTAAGTTTGGAAAAAGGCCCCGTTGCAGCCTTGCACAAATTTCAAAACATTGGGCGGTTCATGGCCCATCCGGCCTGGCTGTAGCTCCGCCATTGGTACTTGGTCAACATCCATCCCTGCAGCCTACTACTCTGGCATGTTTGATAAAATTATGTGTTAGTTGAGGATTTTTTTAGGAATATTAGTTGAGGATGTTAATATGTTTGGATTTCAATTTCCTGTGACTTTGATGTGGGCGTGTCCTCCGTGCAACATCGTTTTCTTTGGCAAGTGGTAGTGTCAACATAAAGTGACATCAGCTAGGTGGTGCTTTTCGAGTATCGGGTCTCAAGCTCGAGGGTGAAAATTCGTAGGTCTGACCTTCGTTGGCTGCATCTTGCAATGGCTATGTGTACGTGCCGTGTCCTTGATGAAGGCATTGCTTTGAAGTTTGCTCAAATGTGCTCTCTAAGGCGAAAACTCAAGATCCAATCATCAATGGTTTGACTCGACAATGGCGGCGCTTGCACGTGGTTTCTTTCATAGAGGTGTTGCTTTTGAAGAAACTTTCTCATAATTAAGGAAGATGGATGAGGGTGTTATTTCTTTGTGTGCTTGGTTGATCGTGTCATCTTTCTTTTTTACATTATTCTTATTCTTATCTTTTTACCTGCGTACATCCTTTGTATCTTGACTCGCTTTTGGTATTATATTGTTGCAATCAATAATATTATGTTATTGCAAATGCCAGATGTAATTAGTACAAACTTAATATTAATGTTTTATCCTTTGTCAAAAAATATGTTTGATTGATAACTTGCAGCACTTCAAAATTGAAAGTCAAACGTTCATTGTCGCTTACATGTCACAATCATGCGACGTGTTGTTTTGACTATACCATGGATATTTTATGAAGGTGACCTGAAATATGAAGTGCCTTGAGTAAGTGGTTTAGTAAATTCAATGCGATAAGAAAAGGACCAAAGATGTGCGCCAATCTTTTATATACATATAGAAGAAAAATTGTGTTTCGGTTCATGTGGAAATGTCTAACTTCTTGATGGACAAGCGACAGATATGTCCTATGCTATACAAACTAAACGCATATTAAAATTCAGTTTTGCTAAAGCACACTCTAGATGTGCTCTAAGTATTGCACATATAAATCATATGTCATTGATTTTACGCTACGATTCCTACAAACTTTTTTTCTTTTTGTTTCTAGTTTGATTGAGTCACTTAGATGCGATGTGCCCTAGACAAACCCTATTAAATTATGCATGACCTATTGGTTTCTTCAAAATAATTGTATGACTTATTGCTATCGGCTACACAGGTCCACACACCCCCACCGAAGACACGGCTCCGCATGCCCCCGCTGATGATAACCACAACAATAGAAGGGGGAAAGACTGGGGAGAATATTATTCCTACACTGGAACAACGCCGCCGCTTTGCCGCCCCAAACCAAACTCGAAAACTCCCTAAAGAATACCTGAAAAAAGTCACCGATGACGCTGCACGACAAATCCAGGCTTGATGTCAAGCTGGACGCAATACGGAACCATGCATCGACTCCCTCAGGCCGGATCCCCATTGAAGATCTTGCGCTGGATCGCAAACGCCACCATGGAGCACTGCCCAAGGAAGACCGCAACTCGAACACACATCTCCTTCACCATCCCACAACAACCCTTCAACTCCTCCACAAGCAAGCCGCCCCCCATCAGGACCTCCCCGATGACGCTGGCGCCACACGGGCTTTACCCAGCGACACGCCCCGACAGCGGCGACGAAGGGAGTAGATGAGGCGGTGGCTAGGGTTTTGGTCGTCTGCCCGGTCCTGCATCTCCATGAAAAGGTGAGCGTCAGTTAGCACTGCTGCCGTACATTACTAGTTTGTACTGTTTTGGGTGATCACTACTGCACTTTTTCCATAATACAGCTCTCTACATGCTTAGATTGGTATCTTCAAGATGACAAAAGATGTTCCATGTGTCCCCCCAAATCCATTTTCCATGACTTTCTTTGGAAGCTGATGCGATAGCTTTGTGTTCCCAACATCCGAATATATTCTACCATAATATACAAACGACTAATCTCATTTTTATTTATGGGGTGGCCATCATCAGTGAAATGCAGCCATTCTAAACAAATTGTGAACAGATCATTGATGCCTTACAGCTCTCTTTACTCTCACCTCTTTGGTATATTTGGTTTATCGATATCTAACCCAGCTCCATGATTGAGCAGAGTTGACGAAAGTTTATATTTGCTATAAATTGTGCCTGCTGCTAACCATGAATCACACGCAGAAAACCCTCTGACTAGCTTGTGTTGCACCCTCCACTGCGATGGCTTTTGCTTCTTCCTCCACGGAATCCCATGTCCTCCCTCACATAGCAATCTTCCCCTTCATGGCCAAGGGCCACACCATCCCGCTCATCCAGCTTGTCCACCACCTCCATCGTCGCCGCCTGGCCACCGTGACCTTCTTCACAACCCATGGCAACGCAGCCTTCGTCCGCGAGGGACTGTCCGGGGCCGACGACACGGCCATCGTCGAGCTCGTGTTCCCCGCCGACGTTTCGGGCGTCCCGCCGGGCGTGGAGAGCGCCGAGGCGGTCACGTCCATGGCCTCCTTTGTCGCCTTCGCACACGGCGTGTCGCTGCTCCAGCCACAGCTCGAGGCGTCGCTCGCCGCCATGGAACCTCCGGCCAGCCTCCTCGTCGCCGACGCGTTCCTGTACTGGACGAACGAGTCGGCGGCCACGCTCGGCGTCCCGAAGGTGTCGTTCTTCGGCATCTCGGCGTTCGCACAGGTCATGAGGGAGCTGCGCATCAGCCACGACCCGTGCCCGGCGCTGCAGCTCGCCGACGTCGACGGCGACGGCAATCCGGCGACGTTCACGGTGCCTGAGTTCCCGCACATCAAGCTCACGTTGGAGGACTTGATGGCGCCCTTCGGCGACCCGTCGTCGGTCGCGCCGATGATGGAGCTGGACAGCAAGCTGGGGAAGGCCATAGTGGAGAGCCATGGCCTGATCGTCAACACCTTCCAAGGCCTAGAGAAACCGTACATGGAGTTCTGGAACAAGCACTATAGGCCCACGGCCTGGGCCATCGGCCCGCTCTGCCTCTCCCAGACCGCGTCTTCTTCGTCGGGTGACGCCGGCCGGCCATCATGGATGGAGTGGCTGGACGAGAAGGCAGCCGCCGGCCGGGCCGTGCTGTACGTCGCGCTCGGGACGCTGGCCGCGATACCAGAGGTGCAGCTGAAGGAAGTTGCAGACGGGCTGGAGCGGGCCGAGGTAGATTTCATATGGGCCGTGAGGCCCGATAATATCGATCTTGGTGCAGGGTTCGAGGAGCGTACCAAGGACAGAGGCTTAGTGGTGAGGGAATGGGTGGACCAATTGGGAATTTTGCAGCACCAGAGCGTGAGAGGGTTTCTGAGTCACTGCGGGTGGAACTCGGTGCTAGAGAGTGTTGCAGCTGGCGTGCCACTGGCAGTTTGGCCCATGCATGCTGATCAACCTTTCAATGCAGCGTTTGTAGTCGATGAGCTCAAGATCGCGGTTAGGGTCCACACGAGTGATAGAACGATGCGGGGTTTGGCCACAACCGAGGAAATATCGGAAGTGGTCAGGAAGCTTATGCTCGGGGAGGCCGGAATTGAAGCGGCAAAGAATGTTGCCGGGCTATCGGTGCTAGCTGTGGAGTCCGTACTGAAGGGAGGGTCCTCTTGGAAATCAGTGGAGGAGATGATCAGTGAGTTGTGTGCACCCAACATGCATGCAAATGTTGAGCCAAGCAAGGAGGAGTCTTGAGATGTTTAATTGTCATCATTTTTCTTTCCAACAAATAATGCGGTGTTGTGCTCTGTAGCTATACCAAACATTTATGTTGGTCACTGGCATTACTTCTCAAGTCTTGATTGGAAATATTTACTATATATGAAATTGATTGAACACGGTTGTTTTCTCTCTTGGGAGTACTTAGTTGGGACCATTTAATTCTGTTTTGGGGACTGTCCTGAAAAAAATGTTGAATGGTAGTCGAAACCAGTGAACCCATGTACCTACCTGGTAGCCTACATGTGGCCACATAATGCTTTCTTTTCCTCCAACCGGACATCTCCTTTCCATTTAATTGCTCAAACGAAAATACATTTTCATTCAACCAGCCATAGAGATGCACATTAAATAGCAGCGAAAGAGGAAGCAAGTCTAAGAGCAGAACTGGAGAAGGGGCCAAAAGTGGAGCGAGTTGGGGCACTAACAGAAACCTGCTATGAGAAAGTGATATTGACAACTCTCATTCCTATAGCAGAAAAGGGGTGTGTTCGGGCCACGCCCAGCGTCTCGCCCACGAGCCAACTCATGTGCTCGCATGCCTTGTGTTGCATGTATGCTCGCTCACTAATCTCTTTTTTTGCTCGTTTTTTATTGCTGTTGGTCAGCTTTCCCAAGAAAAAAAAGACGGGTTTTCTATTTTTGAATAATACGTGAAATTAAATTTCTTTATGGATTTTTAAAAAGTCCATAAATTTTAAAGTAAGTTCATAATTTTTTTAAGGTCATGAATTTGAAAAAATCACAGTTTTAATGGAATTTAGTGCTTTTTAAAAAACGTTCAGGAAATTTAAAAATCAAGGATATGTTAAAAATTTAAAAATCCAGCTGGACCGTGGCCCAGTGTCTCACCCACGCACTGGCTCATAAACTCGTTTGCCCATCTGCTTGCTCGTGGTTTTCTTCTTTTTCGCTTGCCATTGATCAACCTTCCCCGGAAATAAATAGATTAGGTTTCTTAATTTTGGAAATTTTGGTGGAATTACAAAAAATTTATGGATTTGAAAAGGAATAATAATTTATAAAAATGATCATAAATTTTAAAAAACATAAAAGCTAAAAGTTCATTATTTTGAAAATGATTGTGAATTTTAAAAAATGGATTTGAAAAAAGGGTTCACAAATATGAAAAAATTTCATGAATTCACAAACATTCACAAAGTTAGAAAAGTTCATGAATGTGAAAAATTGAACGAACAAAAATGAAAAAGTAAAACCAAAGAGAACTAGAGAAAAAAATTAAAAAGCCAAAGATAAACATGCTAGCAAACCAGAGAAAAAATGACTGACAAACCTGGCCCGAAGTTCTGAAATTTTCCAAAACCGGACTGGATAGAGGAAAAATCGAGGCCGGAAAGTTACGGGACGGCCAATTGGAAACCTGCACGCAAGTGTTGCATATAATTAACTAGGAAACATGCCCATACATTGCAACGAGAGAGAAAAATATATCATGTCAGCTGCTTATCCTCCTTCCCACCCTTACAGTGACCATGATGTCCATCTGGTTACAACACGTCCAAATTTTGTCAATACCGAGGTGATGAGCTCGCCAGCGTATATCACACCTGTCATTGTGTCCACACAAGAAAATGTTCAAACTTTTAACAGCTAATCTTGGCAAGCTAGACATGTGGGTCGCCCTTCACGAGCTACTCCTTGCACCCAATTCATACACCTCTCCTCATACTTCTACTCTTTTTACACAACACCATAAATCAGAGTTGGTCGGGTCAAGGAGCCGGGTCGCGGTTGATCACTAGAGATGGAAGGCTCATCGTGTACAAAGTGAATGGGAAGGTTGCAGAGGCAGGACGGGACATGGCAAGATGTGATCCGGTGTTCCTCCTTCCCTTTGTAGGAGAGGATGTGCGGTGCCACAATGGCGGTGACATAGTGAGCAGCAATGGAACAACATCGCTAAAGATGCACACACAGCGAGATGGAGTGTGGTGAGAAGCCAATACTTCGTGATGTATTGTTGTCTAGTGAGGAGATAGCACGGGTTTCACCGCATGGAAACGGAGTTTCTTATGCATTTTTACTTGGCACCGAAAAAGTTGTAAATCAAAACACCAAATTATTGATTATAAAAACTAAGGATGATCATTCATGGTGATGAGTCAGCACCTGCATATTCGGCTATAAGTTGACGTCCTTTCAGACCATCCCTACGAAGAGACCACTTTTTTGTAACATTTTTCTTTATTGACAGAGCATCTACCTATAAAAAGACCCTCCTCTCCGCCGGTATCCACTCTATACTCTTGCGTGGTCATTGGAATAGCAAAAAAATGGAATAGTAAATATCTATAGGGCACTCGATGCTACCTTAATGTGGCCTGATGGAACACAACAAAATACATATGTGGGTTCTGATTATGTCTCTTCAATAGCCATGCGATGCTAGTTAGTCAGCCGGAAGCAACATTACACGGGCGACCATGTATGTACTTAGTTGATCGACCTTTCCTCACAAAGTTAGCAGTTATGCTAGTGAATTAGTTGGCTGATGCAACAAATCATGCAAATTTTACCATCGCTCATGGGAAAGCCACAAATAAATCATGCTTATGGAGAAGCTGATACGTGGTTGTATTTTCGAAAGCCCCTATTTGACGCGCTTTGCGTCAAATTGGTGGCCTGACGCACAGAGAGGGACCTGACTGGGCCGGCCCATTGAGTTCTACCCCGCGATGAAAAATATAGCACAAAAAAGGAAACACGCACGACCCAAGAATCGAACCTGAGACCAACTACGTACTATCAAGCACTACTAGCCACTCAGGCTAACGTATACTGCTGCCAATAAAGCAGTACATCATTTAAAGAACTAACCATAGATGTGGAACCGGAATGGTATATACTGTAGCGAACCGAAAGTAGCTACTGTAGCGAAACTGAATTAGTTACTAGGTTGAACGTTTTTTTAATCTATATTTTTAAGAAAGTGCCAACATTTATTGAATTCCTGAAGAAAAAAACCGGCGACAGGAACTTTTTTAATATATACAAAAATTGAAAAAACAGAAAAATGGAATGGAAATATTGTTTTCTGAAAACATAAATATTTTTTTGAATTTGTGAACAAATTATGAAATTCTGAACAAATATTGAAGCCGCGAACATTTTTTTGATTTTTTCAACAAAAATATTTGAAAAGTGGAAACATTTCATGATAATTGGAACAAAAATTTGAAACCACGAACATTTTTTCAATTTGTGAACAAAAACTTTCAAATGGAACATTTCATGAAATTCCAAACAATTAGAAATCGCGAACATTTTTTAATATTTCTGAACATTTTGTGAAACATGAACATTTTTCAAGTTCTGACCAAAATTTGTAATCATGACGTGGGAACATATTTTTTGAAACTCCGAACAAAATTCAAAAGCACGAACATTTTTTGGTTCTATGAAGAAAATTTGAATACATGGACATTTTTTAAAATTCTGAACAAAATTTGAAAAACCGGACATTTTTTAAACTCCCGAACAAAATTTCAAAATGCGAGCAATTTTTTAAAAAGTGAACATTTTTTGAATATGTGAATTTTTCTTGAAATCAGAAACATTTTTTGAAACAACCGACCAAAATTGAAAACACAGACAATTTTTTGAAACTCCGGAACAAAATTTGAAAACACGATCAAAATTTAGAAAATTGATTTTTTTGAAAACATGAACATTTTTTAAAAAGGAAAAAAAAGAAAAAGAAACAATAAACAAAAAAAAGAAAAAAAACAGAAGAAGAAAAAGGAAAAGAAATAAAAATAAAAAATGGTTCAGGAACCTTCTAGAAGGTTCCCAAAACCAGAAAAAACCGGCTGTGAACATGAGAGAAAGTTCTCAAAACTGGTATCGGTGCAACGTTAAAACGGGCCGGCCCAACCCCAAACTTTCGCTCGCTCGCTTCTGCCAAACATCAACAATTCGCTGCAGCGAGCGGCGAATAGGATTTTCCTGTATTTTCTGTATGGAGGAATATATAAAGAAAAGGCCGACCAACTCTCTTCTCTCTCTTTTTTGCCCAGAGTGTGGCCGGGGCCAACCTCGCAACCCATCTAATCCCTAGCGCAACCAGCATGCGCTCGATCCTCATCTTCCGCTCAATCGTTTGCCTTTGCCTTAAAAAAAACTCAATCGTTCTCGTCATCTCCCCCCCCTCGCTCTCCGTTGTGCGCCGCCACACACGGGTCAAAGGCGCATCCTCCTGCGCCCGCCCGATCCAGTGCCTTGATGCCCCGCTCCGGCCACCTTCCCCGCCGCTTGAACCTCCGCCGCCCGTCGCGCCTTCATACTCCTCCGCGTTGACTCCTTCCTTGTGCGCGAGCTCGCTGTCCCCGCCGCCTCAAGCCTCCGCCTCCACCTCGCGGCGTCTCTCCTCTGCCTGCATCCGGCCGCCTCGCCCCACCTCTTGCAACTTCCGCGCCGACGAGCTCTCCGATGAGAGCCCAACCGAAGTTGTCCTCCTTTCCAACTTCTCTGCCAGCGGATAAGATGAATAGAGGAGCGCGGGCAGAATTATTACAAAATACAGGGGTTAGTTTGCCAAATCGAAATGTTTTTCTATATTCACTAAAATAGGGACGGCGGGTTCAATTCCTAAAAAACATAGGGGCTTTTCAACAAATAGGGCGCGACAGTGAATCCTATAGACTCAGTTTGTGCTTTATTATTAGGGAAAGATAAAATATCTGACGCATAAGCGCTAAGTTTTTTTGTGAGGGGTGCATAAGCGCTAAGTAGGATTTGCCAATTTCATTAGCCGAGTTGGCACGCTAAATCCCACAAAATGATGCATGCGTTTTTCTTTCAAAAGATGCATGCTACTACTATGCTAGACAGCGGAAGCAAAACCACAAGTATACACTTGGAAATGGCAGTGAGCAGCCATCATTCAGTACCTTGGTAGCCTAGGCAACGGCCAACAGTCGAATGTTGAATAGCTACAACAAACAACGGGCCAAACG